GAACATTAGTAAAAATAATAAGTCTAAGAGAAAATTGTTTTATTTAAACAATCAAATTGCACAGATTTAGAATAAAATTGAACTAGAATTTGTAATATGAGTACAATAACACTAGTATAGCATAATCTAGTATTGTAACTAGTGCAACACAGAACTGAAATAAAATAATCTAAAATAGAGTTGGTAGAGAATCGAGAAATAGTAAACATAAATCAAAAGACAAATAAAACAGAACTTAAAGAAATTGAATAGATCTAGAATAAAGCTATTAAAAAATAGAGCTAGAAATAATAAAACCACAATTTGCTTTAAACTATACTTTATTCAAGATTTTTGAAACTACAAATCAAATGTTGGTAGACTTGTCCCAAAACTTTTGAAACAAAAGTGACCAAAATACTGACACCACAAATCACTAAACCCGGAATGGCCTTGACAAAACTGATAATTGGTTGCGGTAAATGCCCGATAATTGACATCACAATTTTCCAAGCCTCGGATTTGAAGAATTTCCCCACTGTCCCCGGTATTTCCCCCAACGAGTCTTTCTTCAACTCCAACAAAGCATCTGAGAAAATTTGAAGAATTTTCTTCATATCTTCCAGAATCACAACTAACTGTGATACAATCTTATTTAGATGGAAATTAATACATCCTGCAGCTCTAGTGACCGATTCTAGGATCAAAGGACGTGAAAAAAATTTATTACACGTCTCTTGTCTTGCATTAAACGCCTCCAAAGTTTTTCCTCCCAAAATCTCGGGCACAAATCGGGTCAAAATATTCAAAAGGGCAACAGGAATCTCTTGCAATGTTGTGAAAAACTTGTCAAGCATTGTTCCCAATGTTGCAAGGACGATTATATTGATTTTATCTACTCCTAAATTGAGGACCAGGAGGAGGGATTGGATTCCCGAACCCAGGATTTGCAAAATTTGGGAGGCCCCCCCAAGAAGCCCACTGACTGGGTTTCGGGCTTCTTGGTCAAGGGTTGACAAAAAATTGTCGATGTTGAGGCCATGTTGGAGCTCCAATGAGGCGTTCAGGGCCTGAATTGAGGGCTAAAAAGTAAAAAAAAAAATTTAATTTGAAAAACCATAAAATGGTTAAAATTCTAACAAAAAGTAAGTTTTTCCACCCCAATTTCAAAGAAAAAAAGCCAATTATCCCTCAGAAATTACCCTGAGAGAGAAAAAAGTACACTTTCTTCCCTTGTAATTAAATTACTATTTTTATATAGTAATATAAATCATATAAATCAAGAACTAGAAATAAACTGCATGTAAAAAATTTATACACAACAATTAAAAATAATAATAAAAAAATAATTGTTGTGTGGCAAGTGCCACTTACGTCACTAGTAGGGTTTTTTTTATCACAATACCATAATTCAGTTAAAAAAAAGCAAGAAAGATAAATGAGAACTTACGTACCAGTTATTTTTATTATTCATTTTTTGGGGGTAGAAAAGTATTATTTTTAGTGAGGTAAGTGCTTACTTACTACGATAGTAAAACCAGATTTTTCTTGGTAATTATGTGTGAGAACAAAAAGTGTTTTACTTTTAAGGGAGAGAAAAAATTTACTTCACTAAATTACAAAAACTCAAAGAAGAAACAAAAAATAATTTTATTGTGTAAAAAATGCCCACTTACGTCACTAGTAATTTTTTTCTTACAACAATGTAACTTAATGTAATAAAAAAGGTAGAAAATGTGCACAACACAGTTATTTTCAGTATTCATTTTTTTGGGCCTGAGAAATTAAGTGCAAAAAAGTGTATTTTTATAAATGAGAGTGTGGTAAGTGCCTACTTACTATGATAATAAATAAAAGCATATTTTTCTCGATAATTGTGTGAGAGCAGAAAGTGTACACTTTCCTCCCTGATACGTTTTATTTTTAATTCATAAAGAACTGGCGCTACTTGTAGTTTATTAACAAGAACAAAAAAGTGTTTTACTTTTAAGGGAGAAAAAAAACTTTCTTCACTCAATTAGATAAACTCAAAGTAGTAACAAAAAATAATTTTGTTGTCTGGAAAGTGCAAACTTACGTCACTAGTAATTTTTTATTATAATTTATAAGAAAGATAAAATTTTTTTATTTACAGTCCAGTTATTTTCATTATTTATTTTTTTGGGTCCAAAAAAATAAGTGCACAAATGTGTATTTTTTTATAAATAAGAGTGTGGTAAGTGCTTATTTACTACAATAATAAAACACAAAAGCAATTTTTTCTTAATGAGAGCAGAAAGTGTCCACTTTGCTCCCTAATAATTTTGTTGTGTAGAAAGTGTCCACTTACGTCACAAGTATTTATACACATAATTTATAAGAAAGGTAAAAAAGGTTTATTTTTGTAAATAAATGGATTGTTCCAGTTATTTTCATTATTAATTTTTTTGGGTCCAAGAAAATAAATGCACAAAAGTGTATTTTTTATAAATAAGAGTGTGGTAAGTAATAATAACTTACAATCCAGTTATTTTCATTATTAAGTTTTTTAGACCTGAGAAACGGAGTGCAAAAAAGTAATTTCTTTTGTAAATGAGGGTTTGGTAAGTGCCTATTTACTACGATAATAGAACACAAAAACAAATTTTTCTTCGTAATTGTGTGTGAAAGCAGAAAGTGTCCACTTTCCTCCCTGACGCGTTTTATTTTTAATTCATAAAGCCCCTACTTGTAGTTTATAAGTGCAAAAAGTGTTTTATTTTTAAGTGCGGAAAAACCAAACTTACTACACTAAATGACAAATCCTAGTGCGGAAAAACGTTACTTTCCAAACACAAAAACCTCTCACATGGACCAAAATCCGGCTTTTCCGGTGGCCAAATAAAAAAATTCAAGTGGATACTTACCGTAATCGTAGAAACAAGTAGAAAGCTGTCAAATATCAAGAGTTTTACCCACATTTTTTCTATTTGACTGTTTTTCCCAATATCGGTGGATTTTTATACTTTTTTTCACATTTTTTTTATCAGGAAGCAGTAAATTTAATAAGGCATTAATCTAATTGCGTTTTTATCGCTAAGTGTCGTAAAGTTAGCTTTTTCGTCGTCGTTTTGTCGAGTTCGATTTAATTTTATTAGCATTGAGACAGGGTGGAAAGACAAACACAGGCAATATTCCGCTTCATTACTCGAACATGCATCGTCATTGTTTCACTTAACACAACAGCAGAACATTGATTACTACCAGGTAGAGTTAATTAGATTACTCCCGAGTGACATACTAATTTTTTTCTAGCAAAATTTCGCGCTTTGTGCCTCCAATTTCCGTCGTTTTGTTAATTAGAAATTTATTTAAAGGACGATTTACGAGACTTGCTATCTGTTGTGGCCATCTTCTTTCAAGTTTAATTAATTTCTTGAAGCTTCCGATAATTAAAAGCGATTTGAATTTTCTTTGGACGAAATGCAATTTTCGTGTCTGGTTGGCCCTTAAAAGCCATAAATAAGGGCGGATGTGGAGTGGCAGAGGTGATTAGTGCCCGATTATGGCCATTTTGGAACGGCGACCACAATGCTAACGAATCGGTAATTTACGGAACGGCTTAGGCTAATGGGAGAGGACATACTCTTGGATGGGCGAGGGACAACACGGCACGGGATTTGAGAGGATAATGGGGACAACAAACGGGAAATTATTACTCTTTCCTGGCTGTCTGGTGCAGGATTTCACAAGGATTCCAAATCTGTAAACCGAATTTTTCTAGGACGAGTAGTTTCCGAGATATTGAGCGAAATGTTTGATACAAAA